GCTTAAAAAAAAAAAAAAGGACTACCCTTCAGAATTTTGGGTTGGTAAGATTTTATAAAAATACTTTTTTTTTTTTTTTCTTCTTTTAATGCTCATCCATGCTGCATTTATTTGATCAAAAATGTATTTGATGAACAAAACCAGTAATATTGTAAAATATTCAACATTTATATAACTGTTTTCTATTTAAATTTTGTTTTTTTCAAATGTAATTTATTTCTGTGGCAAAGCTGAATTTTCAGCATCATTACTCCAGTCTTCAATGCCAGTGCCAGTCTTAAGTGTAATATTTTTGTGGAAACCATGATAATTTTTCCAGGTTTCATTGATGAATTTAAAGTTCAAAAGAACAGCATTTATTTGAAATGAACATCTTTTGTAACATTATAAATGTCTTTACTGTCACTTTTTCAATTTAATATGTGCTTGCTCAATGAATATATGAATTTCTTTAAAAAAAAAAAAACTTTGAACGGTAGTGTAATCTGTAATGAAAAAAAATATTACACTAAAATCTCAAATTAATTCTGTTTTCCACTGATCTCAGACTTTGGACTCCATTGTATCTTAATTTCATATCCAACTGCAGAGGTGCAATTTTCCAGACAAAACATGGCTCAAGGCAGAAGTCAAAATGATACGTTTTTCATGAGCAACAGAACCTTAATGATATACTAGATCCCTCAGTCTGGTCAATTACATTCGCCCTTGTTTATTTGCTCTTTACTGCAATTCAATACGATTCAAAAGCTGCTGATCCTGTCTTTTGGGAGTATGTGTGTATATGATTGTGTGTGTAAGAATGTAATTGAGGTAGATTGTGCGAGGACTCATGAGAGAAAGTGAGTGTCTGTGTTGGGATGTGAAACTCTACCCTGATAAGGTTCACTGGGCTCTCTACCTCTTCCTCTGTACATTTAAACTCACTAAATTGCTGGCTCCATTTCATCATTCTGTAACATTCAGCTAACTTGTTGACATCACACAAAATATACACACATAATAGACAGAAAAGCCAAGTATGTAGAGTGGTGGCTCAGTCAGTTTGCTTTTTCTAACTTAAATCAGTTTTCCTCTTTATTTGGCTTGAGTTTCATGAGGACTGACTTTTAAGCTCTGTTGAAGATGTCAAGATATCATGCAGTTGACTACATTGTAAACTCTTTGCAGAACAGCATTATCTTGAAATTTAGGGTCATCCGAGCTGTTCTTGTAGATGTGAGGAGCCCCACTCTCTTTTCTGTTATACTTCATGTCTCCTAACTCAAGAACATACCTAGACATCTGTAGAAGTCATGTCTAGTATATTAGCAATGCAGTTCGTCATACTGTTCTAATAATAAATGTGCTTGTGAGGGGTTCTGTCATGTCTGATCTTGTACTAATGCTCCCTTTCTTTCCATTTTCAGCAAATGACACCAGTTGGCCTACCCTCAACAAGAGCAACACATCAGTTAAACCACCTGACTGGAAGGAGTCTGGAACAGACAAGACCAGTAAAATGGCATCACCTGCAGGCACTCCTGGAGATAAGGTATGGCTAACTTACACCTGTGCTCACAAATAAATTGCTGTCCTATTATTTTACCGTGATTTTACAATATCCTTTTTAAATTCAGGATTCCAGTAAAATGGGCTCAGCTCCTCCTCTCAGTAAGCCCCATCCTCCCCCATACGGAGCCCATACCAGCAACCACCTCCTCTCATCTGCCAACTCGGGTTCTACCAGCTCTTTGGACCGACGCAAGGATGTTCCTCTCCGGCCGGCGCCCAGCTTACCTACGAACCCACCGCCACAGCCGGCCTGGCCCCGTGTCCCCCCAGCACCCACCGGCTCTTCCTCTCAGCAGATCCAGCAGCGCATTTCTGTACCCCCCAGTCCCACCTTCCAGCACAGTCCACCCTTTTTCCCTCCTGGTGAGAAGCCAGACCCTCCTCTGGCTGTAGCGGTAAGGCCGTTCATCCCAGATAAGGGCTCCAGACCGCAGTCACCCAGAAAAGGCCCAGCCACCATGAACTCAAGCTCCATCTACCATATGTACCTACAACAAGCAGCCCCCAAGAACTACCCTCTGAACATAAAGCCCACAGTCAAAGCAGGTACACATCAGAAACAATATTAAACTTCAACAATTTACTACTAACACTGGCAGTTTGTGCTCACCTATAGGGCAGTATTTTAATGTTTGTTATGGGGTGTTCACATCAGGGTTGGGTATTGATGCTGATCTAAGTGTGTACAATTTTATAGGGAGACGTATAACTTGATACATTAGTAAAAATATATTAATAAAATGTATTTTACTTTCACTCCAGTGATAAACACCCATGAAAACTATTGTGTAGAAAAGGTCTGGATGCGCCTGTGAAAATGTATACCTACAAAATAAATGCGCATAGAATAAAAGATCGCGGAATCTTAAAATCAGTATTATTCATTCAGTAAGAAAAAAAAATATATATATTTTTATAGTCCATGTTCATACAGGATGCGTCTTGTTTTTAAAAACAGCTAGATGCAGTGCAACAGAATGCAGGAGTCTCACTGCGCTTTTTAACTTGACACAGCGTCTTTAAAAATGCACCACTCACAGCAAGAAAGACTGAAAAAACAGCTAGAAACATTGCAGCGGTCAACAATGTCCTTTTAGCACTTAGAAAAATAATTAAAAAAACAGACAGATGCATTAATGTGAATCATGTGGTTTATTTCTTGATTATGTGTTAGTGTTTTATTAGTACAGTATAATTGAGTATTTTCTTCTTTTTCTCTGTAGTATATGGTAAGCCAGTCCTGCTTCCCAGCTCTATGCCCCCTTCTCCCTTATCTTTTGGGGGCACTGGCGCCTTTCCTGCCCTGCAGGGTCCAGGAGGAGACATGTTGGATGTTGAGCTGGACCTTGACGGTCAAATCATGGGTGTTCCTGAGCCACCCCCACCCAACGTGGACCACATCCCGCGACCTCTCAGCCCCACTAAACTCACACCCATGGTGCACTCCCCTATGCGCTACCAGAGCGATGCTGAGCTGGAGACCTTGCGCAAGAAACTGGCCAATGCTCCACGACCGCTTAAGAAACGCAGCTCGATTACGGAACCAGAAGGTCCCAATGGGCCCAACATCCAGAAACTTCTCTATCAGCGGTTCAACACCCTGGCTGGAGGGATGGAAGGAGGAATGGACGGTGTGAGTGGAGGTGTGACTCCATTCTACCAGCCCTCCATGGCCACTGGGGAAATGCTCTTTGATGCAGACAATGGGAATCCACCTTCAGAAACACCCATCGTGCCCTCGGGGGGTGCTGTTGCTGTGGATGTTGTCCCGCAAAGTGATGCCAACGATAATGAGCCCCCAGAGCAAGTGGCTGAGGCATTGACCCCTCCGGCACCAGAACCGGCAGAAGACAATAACAATAATCCTGCAGAACCATTAGCGATTTTGCCGAGTCCTGTAGCTGAGGCCAGCACACCTGCAGAAGCAGACACCTGTCCCTCATCCCAGCCCACGGTCAGTCTACTGATACACACCCTCACACAAACTCAAGCTTGTATATGGATCATTTTTAGATCTAAATCCATTTAGGTTTCATTTCCAGCACTGCAGTTGTTGCCTTTTGGCAATATTTTACTGTTTTGAATATAACCATTATCATCATCATCATCAATCTGTTATTACATATTAATATATTGTTATTTAGATAGTATATTACAATAGTCTAAAAGTTCAATATTATATTTTTTAGGTTGTATATAATATGTAATTAAACAATAAATGATGTATTCGCAATAAAAGATTAGTTATTAATTGCAACAACTGGTGACTTAAAATAAAAAGGTCACCTTGTTCATATCTCAAAAGTCTGCAGTTATGACTTCAGTTAATTTAAATTATTATTTTTTGTACTCTGAAAAGCAAAAAAAGAAGAAAAAAAACTACAATATTAAAACCGATATTTACTAACCCATTTCAGATTACAAATGAGAAAGTATTTGATTAAATTGAGATATTTAATTGAGATTTATTTATGCTTATTTCGGTCACATTGAGCAGTTTTCTCATAACTTGGGTAACAACGCATAGGTAATGCACAAACTACACTACTGTTCAAAAGTTTTGGGGTCAGTAACCTTTTTTTTTTTTTTTTAAAGAAAAAAATACTTTTATTCAGATAGGATACATTAAATTGAGCAAAAGTGACAATAATGTTATAAAAGATTTCTATTTCAAATAAATGTTGCTCTTTTAAACTTTCTTTTAATCAAAGAATCCTGGGAAAAAAAACATATGGCTTCCACAATATTAATTAAGCAGCAAAACTATAATAAGAAATTATAGTTATGAAGTATAGCTATGAAGAAGTTATAGTTAAAACTATAATAAGAAAGTATAGTTATTATAATATGCTGAATATGCAAATCAGCATATCAGAATTGGTTTCAGAAAATTCAGCTGTTCCATCACAGGAATAAATTACATTTGAAAATATATTTAAATAGAAAACAGTTATTTTAAATTGTAATAATATTTCACATTATTACTGTATTTTTGATCTAAAAGGCCTTCTTTCAAAAACATGAAAAAAATTCACCCTATACTTTTGAACGTGGTATAAGTGAGCAACATCGTCTCTGTCCAAATACACTCATTTCGACAGCAGTATAAATATCTGAAATGTCACTTATGTTGACATTAGTTTCCGTCTCCTCTTTACACTGACAATTACTCTCATTTGCTATATTGGAAAGTCTCATTAAGTTGACATTTTTAATGTGTTTACATCATTACTAGCTGATATAGATACACCAGATATCGACTACATTGTCTGAACAAACCAGTCAGATTATATTGCTTGCAACAGTGCGGACAATCAGTCCTAAAGAGCTGATCTGAAAAGCAAATCAGATTGTGTGCTGTGTGAACAAAGCCTAATGGTCCATGTCCTCAACAGGGCAAACGCACGAACCTAAAGAAACCCGACTCAGAGCGGACGGGTCACGGCCTTAGAGTGAAGTTCATCCCACTCGCTCTGCTGCTGGATTCCTCACTGGAGGGCGAGTTTGACCTTGTACAAAGGATAATCTATGAGGTGTGTATAATAACATGTATGCCATGTGAACACTTTACACACTGCTTTATTTTGCCCATTTTCATTAACAAATTCTTATTTAATTCCTCTCATTTCGTAGGTTGAAAATCCCAGCACCCCTAATGATGAGGGCATCACACCTCTCCATAACGCAGTCTGTGCCTAAGTGAGCGACATCGTCTCTGTCCAAATACACTCATTTCGACAGCAGTATAAATATATGAAATGTCACTTATGTTGACATTAGTTTCCGTCTCCTCTTTACACTGACAATTACTCTCTTTTGCTATATTGGAAAGTCTCATTAAGTTGACATTTTTAATGTGTTTACATCATTACTAGCTGATATAGATACACCAGATATCGACTACATTGTCTGAACAAACCAGTCAGATTATATTGCTTGCAACAGTGCGGACAATCAGTCCTAAAGAGCTGATCTGAAAAGCAAATCAGATTGTGTGCTGTGTGAACAAAGCCTAATGGTCCATGTCCTCAACAGGGCAAACGCACGAACCTAAAGAAACCCGACTCAGAGCGGACGGGTCACGGCCTTAGAGTGAAGTTCATCCCACTCGCTCTGCTGCTGGATTCCTCACTGGAGGGCGAGTTTGACCTTGTACAAAGGATAATCTATGAGGTGTGTATAATAACATGTATGCCATGTGAACACTTTACACACTGCTTTATTTTGCCCATTTTCATTAACAAATTCTTATTTAATTCCTCTCATTTCGTAGGTTGAAAATCCCAGCACCCCTAATGATGAGGGCATCACACCTCTCCATAACGCAGTCTGTGCCGGGCACCATCACATCGTCAAGTTCCTGCTGGACTTTGGTGTTAATGTAAATGCAGCAGACAGTGATGGCTGGTGAGGACACTTTGTTGGATCTGTCAGTGTGAAAGAGATTGATCAGTCTATTCAAGCTAACAGCTGTTGAGTAGACGGACCCACTGACGTCGTGTGTCTATGTGTAGGACACCCTTGCATTGTGCCGCCTCCTGTAACAGCGTGCACCTGTGTAAGCTGCTGGTGGAGTCTGGTGCTGCCATCTTTGCCACCACTATCAGTGATGTGGAGACGGCAGCAGACAAATGTGAGGAGATGGAGGAGGGTTATATACAGTGCTCACAGTTTCTCTATGGTAAGAGTGCCTTTCTTTTCCTCTGTGGGGCTCAGAATAATTATTTGTCCTCACATACCATCCATTTTGAGAACTCTAATGAATCGTATGGGAAAGTGAAGGCAATTTTTAGGATCAGATCTAAATGAAAGTTACTAATTTTGAGAGATTCTAGTCTCACTTAATCAATGAAAATATCTGTGTAAGATGACAATATCAAACTAAATAGCTTATTTAAAGAAAGAAAAAAAACATTTTTTTACAAACACAAATAAAGCTACAAATGAATAAACAACTACATATACAGATCATTTTTCTTTGATAGTTAGTGATGATATAGATTTCTTGGTAGAAAATGTCATTGAACGTTTTTGAGTTTTCATTGCATTTACACTGCTATAACCAGCAGATGTCCCCAAAGTACAGAGTTTAGAGCTCTTAGAAACAGGAATCACTTGATTCAAAGATTTAAAAAGCCTGACTTCTCCCATCACTATGTGCCCATTGTCGGGCTTTTAGGCATAATCGATGTAAGAATTCTCCAAAAGTCCCATTAACATATTTAGTACACTACCATTCAAAAGTTTGGGGTCAG